TATACACATATGTGTGTCCATGGGTTTGTCTCGCTAGTCTACCCAGACTAACACAAGGCTTGAATTTTTTCTTGAGTTCTTTCCATTTCAGATAGGCTGAGCATGTTCTTTCCTTTAGAATTTCTACTTCTAGGTCCCTGCATATTTCGTTATAATATTGGGCTTTGTCTTCTCAAGCTGTCCTTTGACATTTTCTATTCAGTTCCTTGACTTCATCCCTTCTTCCATTTGTTTTAGCTACTCTACGGTTTAGAGCAAGTTTCAGTCTCTTCTGACATCCACTTTGATCTTTTCTTCCGTTCCTGTCTTTTTTTTAATGACCTTTTTGCTTTCTTCATGAACGATGGTCTTGATGTCCTCCCACAGCTCATTAGGTCCTCTCTTGTTAGCATTCAATGCATCCAATCTGTTCTTGAGATATTCTCAAAATTCAGGTGGAATAGACCGAAGGTCGCTATTTTCAGCTCCTGTGGACTCGTTTCAATTTTCTTCAGCTTTGCCCTGAACTTACATATGAGCAATTGATAGCCAGTTCCACAGTCGGCGTCTGGTCTGCTTTCACCTGCTGATATTGAGCTTCCTGCTCCACGGTGTCTTCCCACCGATGTAGTCAATTTGATTTCTGTGTATTCCAACTGGGGAAATCCATGTGTATTGTCACCTTTTGTGCTGTTGGAAAAAGGTACTTTCTATGAACAAGCAGTTGGTTTTGCAAAATTCTCTCATGGGATCTCCAGCTTAATTTCTGTCACCAAGTCCATATTTTCCAACTACCGTTCCTTCCTCTTTGCTTTCAACCTTTGCATTCCAATCAGCGACAACTATCAGTGCATCTTGATTACATGTTTGATCAATTTCCCAGTACAGTCGTTGGTAAAATTCTGCAATTTCTTCACAATAACTTTTGTGGTTGGTGCATACAGTTGAGTAATAGTTGTCTTGATTGGATTTCCTTGAAGGCGGATCGATATAATCCAATCACAGATAGCATTTTAGGACATGACAGATTTAGCTAGATCCTTTCTAACAACGAATGCCACTCCATTCCTGTTGACTGTCTTATTCCTGGCATAGTAAGTCGTATGATTTTCTGATTCAAAATGGTCAGCTCACGGATGCCTATGGCATCGATCTTCATGTGTTCCATTTCATTTTTGTCCGCTTCCAGGTTTCCTAAATTCATACTTCACACATTCCAAGTTCCAATCATTAAAAACATTTTTGCAGCTGTTTCTCTTTACCTCAAGTCCTGCCCCATCAGCAAATGGAGATCCTAAAGGAGATACTCTTACAGGCTTTACCCGACTCATGTCACCGTGGTCAACTTCCCTCCGTGGTCGTCTTCTCCTCAGCTACTGAGTGCCTTCGGATCTGCCAGGCCCATCTGCCGGCAGTAGCTCTGACAATGGCCTGCTCCCTCTGCTCAGGCCCTCAGTATCTGACACTGGTTTGACGCGGTGCATAAGGTTTTCTGTGGCTACTTCCTCCAAAGTGGGGCGCCAATCCTTCGTCATTGTCCGCTCTGAGTCTGGAAGCTCTGCTAAAACCTGTTCACTTTGGGTGACCCCGCTGGCATTTGAAATACACACGACATAGTCCAGCATCACAGCCACACAAAAGCCACCCTAGTAGGACAAACTGACAAGCACGCGATGGGATTTAGACAGTGGTTCTCACCCTTTCTCGAAGGAAGCTTCCCCAACAGCTTTGTTCTAGGGGAGGGAGCGAGGCTTCAGCAAAGGTTTACAGCTTGGAAACCCTGCAGAGGGTCTCTCTGTGTTCGAATCAACACAGTGGCAGTGAGTTTGGTTTGTTTTCTTTTGTTCCCCCCCCCTCCCCCCGCTTTTTTTTTTAATGAATCGGAATTGACTCAATGGTAGTGGTTTGGTTTAGTTTTTGCCTCACCTTTTAGATTCTCTTTAGGACCTGCTAGGTAATTTGGTTAAAATGAGCCCCATCTAAGATCTTCTCAATCAGAGTCTCTGATAATCATGCCAAGAACCTGCATTTTATTAAGATCTCCTGGGCGAATCGCACAAATGGATATGGATGGCCCATTCACAAAGAAATAGAAGAAAGTATGCAGGATTTGTGTTACACAAGGTATGCAGGGGTGGTGTTAAATGAATATGCACTTGAATCCAAGGGTCCCATGTTAGCCAGATCTATGACTCTGGACATGCGTCCTACCCTTTAGGAGCTGTAGTCTGCTCATCTATAAGCTGAAGATGCTGATGGCTACCCTGGAGGTTTTGAGGGCCCCATTAGATAGCCCCCGTCCAGCCCACAGATTGCACAGTAGAGATAGCGCGTCATTCCTCTCCTGCGTCCAGTGTGAGAGCTGCCTTCTATCATACAAGCACAGCCACAAACAAAGTGCATCAAGATGGCCAGGCTGGGGCCTTCTCATTTGGAATGATTAAAGAGAAGCGATAATGCTGGAAATGAACCAGAAAGTCAGCTGCTTTACCAAAAAAGGATATTTTTCCCTTTTGTAAGTAATTAAATGTACACACACACACACACACACACACACACACACCCCGGCAGAAAGTGCCAAGCTGTATTTGATTAGTTCCGGGCAGAAGCATGTTAGGGCATCTGAAAACCACAACTGGAGACATCTATTCTGATGGGCCTAATGCCCTGGGTATTTCCTTTCAACCAAACTTGGAAGAAAGGACTTTGATATAATGTCCATATGGAAATATTTTACAACATTCTTAAAAAGTTAGATATTTCACTCAGTACATATACAAAACACACTTTTTCCTTCACTGTGCGCAAGCGTGGATACACGCATGTCTTTAAGAGTCCCTTGTCATTTCCCAGCTAGAATTTTTTGGTTCGGCTTTGTTAAATCAATGTCAATGTGTATGAAAGGGCCCAACTGACAGCTCTGGAGACAGTGGTCTTTTCTGGGGGCTCCTGGCAGGCACCAGGAGCAGCTGTTCCTCCAAATACCTGCTTCTGGAAAGATCATTTCTGGAGGTGAGAAGGCACGTGTTTCTCCCTCATTCTGAAAGGGGTCAGCGGGATGGTGGTGGTGTAGTTCCCATCCACAAGTACCTTCTGAGGAAGCTATGGCAACGTGAGTCTTGGCACAAGTTCTTTTGAAGACATACATCTGTTGTCTTAAATGATTTTTGTAATCAACTTGACAGCAACTAACAACAATCTTGGGATAAAAGATACCTTGGAACAATATTTCTTCAACACAAGGAGCTATTTATAGCGGCCGCTTGGAGGGAGAAGGAAGAGGGGAAGGAAGGAAATACAGAGGAGATGGCAAGTCTCTTGTTTTGTTTTGCTTTAATCCTTTGTGGACTTTGAATTTTTGTATCCTTGAACCTGTAAACTTCTTTTAAAACAAACAAACGAGATCCTCTGGTATTGTAGTCTATGTTCTGTTTTCTTTATAAATCTCTATATTGAAAAATAAAATACAATGACCTTATTTTAAATATATTTTTAAAAATTAATAAGCAAAAATTACCAGACAACAAATAAATGCACTTTTTGTTGTTGTTTTCTCTTGAACAAAGCCACACAATGTCCAGGCAATTACATGTATACGTAACCCCCCCCCCCCCCAAAAAAAAAAAACAACCTTCATTACTATTGAGTCCATGCCAACTCATAGCAACCTTACAAGACAGGGTAGAACTGCTCTGGTGAGTTTCTGAGACTGTGACTCCTTTTTTTTTTTAAATCATTTTATTGGGGGCTCGTACAATTCTTATCACAATCCATACATTCATCCATTGTGTCAAACACATATGTACATTTGTTGCCATCATCGTTCTCAAAACATTTGCCTTCTACTTGAGCCCTTAATATCGGCTGCTCATTTCCCCCCTCCCTCCTCCTCCCCCTCCCTCATGAACCCTTCATAATTCATAAATTATTATTATTTTGGAGACTGTGACTCCTTATGCTTTTAGAAAGCCCCAACCTTCTCCCTCGGAACGGCTGGTGGCTTCTAGCTGCTGGCCCTGGAGTTAGCAGCTGGACACATAACCACTGCCCCATCAGGGCTCTGGCACGTGTATAGAAAGGGGGACTCAAAATGTTCATTTAAAAATTTCATCATCTTTAACTTATCTTTTGTCCATGGATTTTTTGAAACCCTCTTGTATATACACTTTGGTTAGTTAGAAAATATTGCTAAAAAATAATAGAAACTATTATTAAGCAAAAATATCAAAAGTGTGTAGCTACCGCTTCTTGACATATCCACTTTCCAGGTCTGGACACTTCTGAAGGTGGTTTTTCCATCTCTCTAAGCCTTCTCTCCAAGTTTCTGCACATTTCCATTTACAGCATGATAAAACGGCAATTTTCACAGCCTTGAGGGGCTCAATTCACGTTCCTCTTAACTGTCCTTGGAGTTTGGGGGATGAAAAGAAGTGTGCAGCAGCAAGACCAGGGCTGTTGGGCAGATGGGGTCAGGGTTCCCTAGGAAATTCTCCAAGGACGGCCCTACAACCCTCGAAAAACTAGTAGGTGCGCTGTTGTGATGGAATCTCCCGGGCTTTTTCTGGTCCGCGCAGTTGTCGGGTTTCTTAAAGCTTCTTCATAATAGGTCACCTAGATTGTTCTGTGCCCTTGGAGAAAATCTATCAGATTGCCTCTTTGGAATCCCCGCCACCCAGACCCCCCAAAACAAACAACCGGCCACTCTAACCCTCTGAGCTGGCCTCCTATCTTTATTTTGAGGCACCCCAACCAGACGTAGACAAACGTGTTACCGAGAGAAGTTGTCTGTTGTTTGGAAGAGACCTAGATGTATGCATGAACTGGAACCTGAGCAGTAATACTTTTATATTAAAAAGTATTTATACATATAAACTGGATATTTTATTTATATTATATTTATACATATAAACTGGATATTTTATTCATCTGAAAATGTGGTTTTTCACAGGATTTCTTTCATCATTAAAAGAGTAAATCATTTATTTGCATTTTAAAGATATGCTTGAAAGCCAAGGGAAGCAATACTTACCTGGCAGGGGAGATAGCACAACCATGAAGGTGGTTTTCCCAGGGCGAGGGTTATCCATTGCACTCCGGATGTGCTCACCCCTGCGATTTCCCCAAATGTGGGGAACTCGACTGCATAATGTGTGGTAGTGGGGGACTGTTCAGGGCTCCCTGATATGAAAAAAAGAAAGAAAGCCAAGGGAAGCAGTTCTTTCTGTGTATTTGAAGTTAAATTGTTCTTATTTGATCATAGCATGGAGGCACATTTCTTTTAAATAAGTTTGCCTTTTTATTACACAGTGACCCTAAGTTACACATTTCAGGGTCTCCAAGGACATGCTGAGGAGATTGGAGTGATGCAGGGCAGGGACCCCTGTCACAGTGAACTGCTGCCTTGCTGTGGCCACAGAACGCAACTGCACGTGGGCAGCTCCCAGTAAGCAGGTTGTTCATTGAATTGCAACTGTCTTGCAGAAAAAACTGCAAGACTTTTTAAAACACTGTGTAGAGCTATAGATAT